TGAGCTGAACGTTTTGATGTTTGAACGGAGTTTCTGCGATGTGGAATGTGGGAGAAGAAGAGGTGCAAAAATAACCCGGCGGAATAATAAAGAATTTCGTGCCTAGCATAACAGAACAGCATTCCCACTAAATAAACACAACTTATATCAGAACAAAATCTGGCGTTATAAATCCTCAAAAAAGGAACCTGTTGCCTGATTATCAATGTCCACACAAAGGTTTTCTTAACTAAGTAACCAACATTTTAGGATGTGCACTAGCAGCCATAGAGAAAACTTGTAACATTATCTCTGTAATAAAAGTAAGTTAGACCAAACTGTCAAAGAAACCAACATACATGTATACACAGGTAGTATATAGCAGCATTGAATGCCTTTAACTCACATCTAATAACCTCAATCATAACATAATAAGGCAATACTTCACATATTGAGCTGCTGTGTGGATACATGTCCAGCCTCTGGGCTTTGATCATGTGCAGTGCTATATGAGCTTCTAACAAAGGCTGTTTCTTCCTGCAGAAACAGATGACATCCAATGCCTCATGACCAATCCTGCTACATATTTCAGATGAATAAAGGCCGTTTGGACAGCACACATTTGAGGTTGTAATAGCAGGAAAGCACAGATGTGACCTAATGATGGCTTTGTTTGTCCGTGTGTCCCTGTAATGAATTACATTGTGATAGTGAACCAGAATGCACAATCCCAGGAACCTGACACTGAAGCAGCTAAAGGGAATTCTGCAATCATTATTTTTATTGTTTACACCTGTGCTTTTTCTGTTGTTACATGTGAGTTTGATTCTGACTGAGGAACTTTGTTGCACTTGGCCCTGGGGGGTTTCAAAGAGGCCCAGCATCTCTGAGGGTCTGCAACTGGTTAATCTGAGCCCTGGAGGCGAAGTCTGCTATTGAATAACACATGATCAGAGGGACACACGTGAGGTGAAAGGTGAAAATATCCTATTTTTTATCAGGACAATCTTGAGCCCCAAACGCAGGGGTGACATGGTTGCAACATGTTGTCACTTCTGGTAAAACAAACACATCATAAATGCAGAGGAAAGTACTTTGAGTTAAAGTAGAAGTAGAGTGTAGGAATACACTCTGGTGTATTCTGTAAAGCCCTGCAGTCAAAATATTACTCCAGTAAAAGTAGAAAAGTATTAGCATCAAAATATACTCAGAGTACGAAATGTAAAAGTATACTCATTATGCAGATTGGACCATTTCAGATATATCATATGTTTTATAATTACTGATGCTGTAATGTGTTTATCAAAGGTGCAGCTAGTTTGAATTACTTTGTAAACTGCAGGGTAGCTTGTGAATTTACTCCAGGTGTAACTAAAGTCTTATTTGAGTGTTGATTATATTTCACATCATTAATCCAAATCTGTAAAGTAACTTATACTGCGTAAATGTAGCTGAGTAAAAGTACACGATTTACCTCTGATTTGCAGTGGAGTTGCGTACAAAGTAGCATAACATGGAAATACTCAAGTAAAGTAACAAGTATATCTCAAAAGGTTAGATTTACAGTTTGAGTAAATGTACCTATAATTACTTTACACCTCTGCATACATGTTATTTGTTCCTCCAGTTTATCTGCTTTGACAAGCTAAAATATCCGCTGTAAAATAGGTGTATAAATCTTTTTTGTTTGAGAATAATTGATTTCCCCCCAGCTTTTACACCAGTGTGATAGAAATAGGTCTAAACCAGTGAGGGTGGGCCCAGATACACTGACTGCCACTAGAGGGGGCAACTGTATTTCCCCTTCTCTACTGTTCAGAAAACCTATTTTAGAAAATACAAATGTCCATGTCTTACTGTCTATGTTCAGCTGTTTTAATTGTATCTATTTTTTATTTAAATGATTCACACTTGCAGTACATGAATGCATGATGTGATTTTAATTTCCTTGTGTTGTGAGGCACCAATTAAAAAACGTTGTTTGATTCACAATTTTTTTTTTCTATAGACCAAAGACCTGTGATTCTTATGTCTTTTTATGACACCCTTGCAGTGTTCCTATTTTATAAAGCACATTTTAAAAAGCCCCTTTACTTGTAGTATGATACAAGAAGTTTGAAAATAAGACAAAAAAAACACTTCCGTTCACGGCGGTTATGACGTAAAATCCTCATCTTCGTGTCAACATGAGGTTTGTTTTCTGACGTTTGATTCCTTTTCCGGTACAACACGATCTCCTCTATCAACGTGAACCGAATTACAATTAAACATCGAATTAAACTCAATTTACACCTTTTTCTAAATAAACATTTCACACACGTGTCTTCACCAGGGTCCTTCACATCGATTCACAAGGAAGGCTCTTTTTGAGCAGTGAACTGGGAACACTCTTTAGCACCGCCTGGCTAAATCAGTTGAGGTGTCTGGAACACAAAAACGAACGCTCCCAATGTAACGCGGGAAACGCTACTGTGTTGTTTCTCCAGAGAAAAAGAGCCGCCACGCTAATCAACATATCTAGGGATATTATCATCACCAGATCCAGGGTCCAACAAATGACATAATCCGAAAGGCTTTGGCTCTGATCTGAGGAAGTTAATGGTAGACAGGACCGCCGACTGTGTTTTGTTTCCGGACCGTTTGAACCCGGAGCAGCCGTTAATTATATGTCGGTCCCCGCGCTGCTACTTAACGTCTTTCTGTGTAGCCACCGAGCAGTTGTTAGCTCCGACACAAAGAGGGAGCCCTGCTAAAGAGCAAAACAACAAAGAGAACATCCTCCACTCTTGACCGGTAACATGGATACGTTTCAGAAGGTGGAGAAGATAGGAGAAGGGACGTATGGGGTGGTTTATAAAGCCAAGAACAAAGTCACCGGAGAAACTGTTGCTCTGAAGAAAATCCGCCTCGACACGTAAGTGAACTGTTGTTTGTTATCATCTGCAGGAGCTAACGTCACTGTAGCTAACACTACTTTTACTTAAACTGTGATGGAAATGTGTTACTCAAATTCAAAATGGCTTTTAGGCATGACCGTTTAAACAGTCCTGTCATTTATTCAAGGGTGTCATCATCAGGTTGTGATAGTCAGAGTAAAGTTGCAGAGTTTTTTTTAATGGACAAAGATGGTATTCAAGCTAAACAATAGTAGGACAAAGAGGACTTGCAAGATGTGTAACTACAGTTAATTACTTCAGGCCCTACTAATATCCTTCCCTGCACATAAAAGCAGACTTCAGCAGGTAGGATTATTCATTGACTCCCTCTTTTTGGTTTTCTGACATTTGTGACAGACTTCAGTAAGCACAAGCTGTGCTTATCTTTTTCTTTTGTTAGCTGTCAGTGATAATACACTGATCTATTTAAAGTAATGTGGGCTGTGCCAGTATTGACAACTGCTGATTTTAACTCTCTGCTATTCCTAAACAATGACGTCCAAGTTATTTATAGAAAAAATATAAAAGCTATAATATAATTAATTTAAATCGCTCTAAAATAAACAAACGTACCATGAAAAACCGGGCTGAAATAAATAACTAATGGCAACATTATCATATCCTGGGATAAGTGATTGAGCTTCAGTAACAAAACCTGTTAATTTCTTTCTTTCAGGGAAACAGAGGGTGTACCAAGCACTGCCATCCGAGAGATTTCACTTCTCAAAGAACTCAGTCACCCAAATATTGTCAAGTAAGTCCCTTTATGTTACAGCTTTAAGCTAAATCTCAAGATTCTCCTGTTACTTGTTTCCGTCAGTTTTAAGCCAACCTGTGTGTTGACACGTTTCAGGTTGCGAGATGTGATCCACACCGAGAACAAGCTCTACCTTGTGTTTGAGTTCCTTCATCAGGATCTAAAGAAGTTCATGGACTCCTTCACAGTCGCTGGTATCCCACTGCCTCTGGTTAAGGTACATTTCCGCTACCTTTGCAAAGCAGATCTGCCTCAATCTCAACAAGAAATCAAAAGTAATTTGACTAACCTGGGCGTTAATATATATTTTTGTGTGCATTTTTAGAGTTATCTTTTCCAGCTGCTGCAAGGCCTGGCCTTCTGCCACTCTCACAGGGTTCTTCATCGAGACCTGAAGCCCCAGAATCTCCTCATCAACGCCCAGGGGGAGATCAAGCTCGCTGACTTTGGTCTGGCAAGAGCCTTTGGGGTTCCCGTCCGCACTTACACACACGAGGTAACGTCCTCGCCTGCCCTGTTCATGCATCAACACGCTCCTTCCAGTTATATGGTTTAAAATGTATTTTCAAAACTAGAGATGCACGGATTGCAATTTTCTTGGCAGATCTTCTTTCTTTCTATGGACCATGATTTACCACATCATTTGTACACTATGTATTTATTTTCTTCTTATTTATATACAACTATTTATCGATCAGTATATACAGGACTGTCTCAGAAAATTAGAATATTGTGATAAAGTTCTTTATTTTCTGTAATGCAATTAAAAAAACAAAAATGTCATACATTCTGGATTCATTACAAATCAACTGAAATATTGCAAGCCTTTTATTATTTTAATATTGCTGATTATGGCATACAGCTTAAGAAAACTCAAATATCCTATCTCTAAATATTAGAATATCATGAAAAAGTATACTAGTAGGGTGTTCAACGAATCACTTGAATCGTCTAATTAACTCGAAACACCTGCAAGGGTTTCCTGAGCCTTGAAAAACACTCAGCTTGGTTCNAACTGCTTCCTCCCAGAAAAACAATTTGTTTGTTTGAGTCGCCGCCCTCCGCCAAAAACTAAAGAGAAGCAGTTTGCGAACGACGAACTTAAAGAACTGGCGGAAACAGTTCAGAACTGTTTCCTACAGTTATTTTATCTTATCCCTTTCTTTCAAGAGGAGGGTCCCGTTAGGGCCCCTCCAAAATACTGGATGTTCCATCTACACAGAGTTGGACTCAGTTAGACAACTACCACAAATACAATGAAGTACTTTACTGTTGGACTCAGTACTAGTTGGATTTCTACCACAAGTAGGCTACTATGAAGTTATTTTACTGTGTACTTTTTCAGTTATTCTCTGTCAAACTCCTGTGGCAGAAAATCATTTTATCTCTCATAAAATATGGCAGAAAACANAAACATAGATGGGTACATAGAATATGAATAAATCGTCACCGATGTAGAGGATATATTTTTTTATTCACTTTGAACTCGGCCAAATGGAGTTTAATGCTTTGGGATTTAAGGCCACATAGTACGTGCATGGGTTAGAAAGTATAACGTGCTAGCCTGCTGTAATACATCGTATAGTCAGGCACACATTGATGAGATTTAACAATGGCCAATTATATTTCTTAAATATGTAGCCTATTCCCAGAGCATAATTCATGGGGCAACAAGGTGAGGTGTAAAATGTGTTTTAATATCATACATTTTACGCCAGCAAACTTCTTGTACGGACTTCGGCAGTAGTGAAGACTCACTGAACGAATTAAGTACAAAGACGAATCGTTCGCGAACGTGCAAATCACCAGAAGTCGTTCGTGAACCTGTGAACGAATCAGTGAACGAATCAATGAACGAATCTTTAAAGTGAACTGAATCAAAAGATTCGTGTCCCCGAAGGGATTCGAAATGCCCATCACTAACGTCGAGAGAAAGATAAATAATCTGAATTCAGTGTGCAGTTTACTTTGACGCAGGGTGAGCAGGAGAGGTGAGAGGAGGCGGGGCTATTGCGTCATCATTATCAGAAAATTATCGTATAGGGCTTACACACGGAGCCGTTGGACCCCCCAGAGCGTTGCGTATGCCGTGCTATCCACCTTGGGACCCGTTATCGTTTCTGCAGTTGTTTACTGTCATATTCGGTCGTCCTAGTGTGGCAGAACGTTCTATATGACACTAAACAGTAACGCAAACGACCGTTATCGTCCTCGTGGGGCCGGGGCCTAAAATGAAAAACCCAGTTTTAGAGGTTAATAAAACCATCAATTAACAAATCATTAGTCGCCGCCTGCTTCATAGGCACAGTGTTTGACTGTATTTCTCTTTTCGTTCTTGCAGGAGATGCTGAATTACGATCCAATCAAAAGAATATCTGCCAAAAACGCCCTCGTACATCGATACTTCCGTGACGTCACCATGCCAATTCCTCACCTGAGACTCTGAGCAGGATAGGAGTTTGTTTTAATGCCAACAATGTCTGAGCAATAAGGACCTCCTCGCCTTATCTCCACGACTGGAATGGACATAAATCAGACACTACGGGACACGTTGGATCCTTTAATGGATGTTTGGCCACACTTAAAACCAGCTTTCTAAGACGGTTGACCTCCCGAGATTTTCGCTGTGTTTTCAGCCATGATGTTTAACTGTCATTTTCAATATAATTATTCTGCATATTTTTGTGCAACTGCCATTTTTTATGTTAATGTTATTTGTGATTGGGATAGTCCTCTGAGTGACTGCAGGTAGACTGATTCTCGTAAACTGCCATTACATTTCCCATTTTTAGGATGTCAAAGTAATATAGTCTCGTTAGTTAGAGTTAAATATTATTGATAACGTTTGTGGGTTAGTGCAAAAAACAAACGTCATGCTCTTTGAGGTTGAGCAGCAGCTGAATGAAAGATGTGAGTGACGGTTGCATCTTCTTTTGATCTAAAACCTGTGGTGCTGAAACAACACGATCTTAAAAGGTTGATTTTCTTGCAGTTCAATTCTTTAAAGTTGGGTCTGAAGTATCTTGGAAGTGATTTTATAACGGCACCTTTGGTTGTTTAACACACACAAATGTTTGTTGGGCGTTTGCTGGCAGGATTACAAACTGAAGTTCTCAGCGTAGTACATACAGTTGTCCCTGTTGTCATTTTACAGAATTTAATGTGCCGTCAAATCTTTCTTACTCTAGATTTTATTCAAACGTATTGAATCGTTTTTTATGGATATTGTTTATAGTTTGAAAACAATAAACTTGTTTAAACAGCTGATACCCTTTGTCCGTGTCGAGGGTAATTTTAGTCTGAAGGGCGACAGTACGTCACAGTTTGAGTTTAAGTGAACAATGTTTTCTTGAGTTCTAGAGCCAAGCGAAACCATTATGGCTAAATGGTTTGAGGGACTTAAATACCATGGTTGTTCTGCAGGTCAAATATTTAATAAGAAATGGCTTTGTTAACCTGTATAGTCATTAAGATATATGGTTTATTCACGATTTGTTCAAAATGTGAAATGGCAATGCCAATCAACTAACTGAATTATGCGAGTAGAACTAGGAAAGGACAACATGGGAAATGTTTTGTCTTCAGATTAGAACTCATCCACAAACATTGGTGTGTGGGAGAAACTCCCTTTGGGATTTCAGCCTTTACAGACTATTTACATGCACAAAAGCCTATCTCACACAGGAAAGGGAAGCCCAAAAAGTCACAATAGGGCCCCATTAAACATAACATTTGGGTTTTTAAAAAAAAGATTAAAATAAGTGTTTCATATTTATAATACTCTGCAAACTTGTTTTGTACAGTATTTAGATTAGATTAGATTCAACTTTATTGTCATTGCACCGAGTATAAGTACTAAGACAACGTACTTAGCATCTCACCAGAAGTACAAAACAGAAGTCAAGTGCAGAGTGATGTCAATGAAATACGACTAATCAACAAACTGACAAATATTTCATTTGTAGTATTTATAAACCATAATAGTCAATGCAGGTCACCTTCAAACTTTTGAAACTTTTTGAAATTAAGAAAAGATGTTCAGAAGAGAAAGGAACATCTGACAATAATGAATTGCTGTTCATTACAGTGTGTTTTCTCATGTGACCACTGAGGGGCCCCAAAGTCTAAAAGGTTTACATCTCACTCACAGTGGCTTTTTCTGCTTCGATGTGCACACAGAATATGACAGACTCACTTTGTTAATTGGTGTAGTTGCAATTTATTTTCACAATAACCAATAGTAAAGAGGAAATAGGAATAGATGATAATGGGGAAATATCATATTGTAAGCAAACCATATAAAATAGATATGTTATAAATTAATAAACAATTGCATTACGAGAGGCATAATTAAAATAGTGGTGCTCTTTGTCAATTTTGTTGTTTTATTTAGTAAAAAAGCAAACGCCACAAAATACCTATGTGCTCCACTAATTCAAAAACAGAAATATAACAGCACTAGCCAGCTAGCTGTTTCTTTCACGTATCATAATGTGTTTTATTCATTGTATCTCTGAGGCTGTCTGCCATGGCAACAATGTTGTTGCACTATACGTGACAACACCATAGATATTTACTTTGACAGTTATTGATGTTTTTAAACAAGCTTGACCCTACAAATGTAAAGGCTGATGAACTAAAAAGCTGCAAAATGAAATTTGATGAATAACTAAATGTTACATTTTACCACTACATTCTGAGCTAAGCATTGCCTGTTATACACATGTTTGTAAGTGCAGTAAGTTAACGGTCCAGTCGACAAAGATAACATTCAGGAAACAGATATGCAGTGCAGTCTGATTGGAAGTCAGATAAACAGATCACATTTCAGATGTGGAAATATGAAACAAATTCTCATCAGATTTTCTAAAAGTAAGTTTGGTTTTGGAGAGTCAGACTCTAGCCCAAATTGATTGTCTATGATGAAGTGTTGCAACTTTGTCGTTGTCAATGTGCATTATTAAAGAAAACAAAAGTTTAATACAATTTTTGAGACTATTTAATAATAATAATAATAATTAATAACATTTACTCATTACATTTTAAAAGTCTGGAATTAAACTGTTATAAAAGTGTATGTCACATTGACAAAACGGAAAGCAATATATTACCAGATTGCCTTGCATTTGGTCATTAACTGGTCCAGTTGCACTTCATCATTTTATCCTATTAGACATGTTTAAACTTTACAACTGTCATGATTAGCATATAACTTGAGTTTGTGAGGTCGCAGTGACCCTTGGCAACCCAAATTGAAATTGGGTCATCATTGAGAAAGTTGACGTTTGTGCCAAGTTGGAAGAAATCCCCTCATGGCGTTTTTGAGATTCGCATTTACAAGAATAGGAACCCAAAAGGAATGCAACCCAATACATCATGGTCATTGGATGACACAGGTAAGTTAATTTCAAGACTGATTATTACCGCTTTGAAACCAGTCACACCTTCTAAAGTTGTGCCACATTATGCATACACATTGTCAGCAGTAATATGAAGTACACATGATTTGTAGTTAAGGACCTATACATTGTTTTGGTGTGTTTGTGGAAGATGTGGGAGGATGGCTTAAAATATTATTTAGCTCAGATTTCTAGTTTCTTTTTCATGACAAGCTTGTAGAGGATCTGGTAGCCGTCGTCCCAGGCATAGAGCAGCTGCTCCTGAGGGTTGTATTTCAGACTGGAGTGAGCTCCGTAACGCTTTGGAAAGTAAACCAGTGATGCTTCTTCGTTGGTCACCATGTCATTGACGTCGAACACACACTGGATTCGTGAGCGCCCGGGCTGCTTGGTGTTGTAGACCACATACAGAGTGCCACAGATGATGAAAGCCGCCTCCGCGTTCTCCCTCGGACAGTTTGAGTCCCACATTTGCTCAATGTCCAGCGTGTTGGCGTCCATTTTGGCCATAGAGATGTACCTCTCATTCTGCCGCGTGGCGTAAATGGCCCACAGGCCTTCCTCGTCCACAGCCAGGTCCATCACTGTCTCTGGGGTCAGGCCGTACACGGGGAGATGGTCCTGCACTGGAAACACAGCGCTGTCCGTCACAGAGCTGTTCTTCATGTCATATTTAACCACCATCATCTCCTCTGCCTGGTTTATATAGTACGCGTAATTGTTGAAGACAACATGTCCTGTTCCCTTCCAGGCAGACGGCAGCTTCAGGTTCTTGGCCAGAGACATGCCCTGCGAGCGAGCAAAGTCCTGAACGGAGGCAAACTCATGGATGGTGTCTTCGTCTGTCCCGTTAAAAATGTAGACCTTCCCAGAGCCCCGGCCTGTGTCTTTGGTCCACATGCCCTTTGGCCCTCCAACTCGCTTCAAGATCTTCATGGCCTTTATGCTGGAGATCATGTCACTGCAGTCTGAAAAGGAGAGGGCAGCAGGCTTTATTTGACAAGTGACAACTGACACGCATGCTGACATGGTTTACATTGCATTAGCAGTTAAAGATCTCATGACTGCTTTTAAAGGAATAATGTTTAGGTCAATAAACTTACCGGTCTGAGCACTAAAGTAGCTAAAGGGCTTGAAAGTTGAAAAAGTCACCAATAGAACATGCGGAACAGGAAGTTGCCAAGAAAAGTCCAGCATTTAAAACCATACCCTGTGATTTCTAGTCTTCAGTTTCTGTGACACAAAAATAGAACCCAAGTCGCAGCATTTAGGCCTTTATTCCTATCCCCGGAACTTTACTTAAAGTTTGACTTCACTCTTGAATTACAAAATGGAGAAAATGTTGTCTTCTTTCATTTGTCTCCTCTTACGCCTAGGCCTAATATTCTTCCGTAATCATAATTACTGTTATATATTCAGAAACTTGAGAATATGCTTGCTTTTCTCCATTTCAGGTTATTGTAAATGCAGCCCTTGTTCCATGTTCATCCCCATTAAAACTCAAAGTGTGTTCTGATGAACAGAACACACTTCACATCTCATCTCACCTGATAGTTTTGAGTACTTAGCCTTCTGCTTCTCCTTCACCAGCATCACCTGCTGCTCTATCAGCTTGTCGTCGACGTCCACACACGGCTGAGCACCGTTCTGTGTCTCCAGGTAGTCTAGCTCCCGCTCCACCCGGTCCACCCTCGTTCCCACGCCGTCCAGAGTCACCCTCAGAAACTCTTTCTCTTTATCCAGGCTCTCCAGCTGGGACACCATCTGTTGCTTCAGCTCCCTCAGCTCCGAGGCGTAGCGGGCGGTCTGCTCATGCCACAAAGAGATCCGGTCCTGTTTTCAAACAAGGTGACAGATCATTTGTTATTATTTTTATCATACAAGCTGTCTCACTTGTTTTTATCCAACCTGGTTGTCAGTAGTAATGTGAGCCATACACAATCGCCATTTCACAGGAACTGTAAATGCATCAAGGCCATCATTTTATGTTTTTTCCAGTCTAAATAAATAGACTGAAGTTGAAGGGCATAATAAGTAGGAAGCTCATCCTTCAAACAACCAGGTTCCGACCACACGTGGCAAGTTTCCTCCCTGCTCAAAGGCCTTTTTAGCAAAACACTGACTCATATACCAGCTCTCCTCAGCAGACCCTGACCTCTGACCCGCGGAGCAGGAAAAGGAAATGAGATTTTCTCCACAGGTCTCAACAGTGAAAACTGAAATTCTGGCATGTGTTAATCACTGTTTTAAAACATTATCATGATACTTCATTTTGCCAATACACATTTTAGGAACCAAAAAGCGTTTCCATAATGTGACGTTAGGAAACATGCAATGCAAATATGGACTCTTCTAAGTTGTAAACGACATGTTTATCTCAGTCTGTGAACACAGACAAGGAGCTCACAGAGCTGTATTTTCCAGCCTTTTCCTCAGGATTTGCCCACATCTGCGTTTCATTGCCAATGCCCTGTCCCTGGCAGTTTCCCCTCAGAGGACTCTGGAGCGCAGGGCTCGACAGGGAGGTGCAAGGAGGTACAAGGAGGTAAAGGGAAGTAAAAGGATTCTTACCTCGATAGTCTGCAGCCTCCGCTCCAAGTAGTCAATCAGTGCTTGGTGCTGAGCGCTGGCAAAGCACGCCAAAGTTACCAAGACAACAAGTACTCTCATTTTGTGTCAGCCCGGTGTCCTCAGCTCCTGGAGAAGTTTTGACTGGAGCGGAGAGAGAGAGTGGAGGAGCCAGCAGATTCCCAGAGGTGGGCTGGAATGTTTTAGAAGCTGTCTGGGAGGAGCCAGAAACATCTGGGGAAGATGGAGGAACACAGACCCTCAGTGAGACAAGACACTGCTTTCAATTTTCATTTGACCTTTTACCTGATTGACAAACAAATATACAAATTCCGCTCCCAGCGCTCCAGGCTTCCCATCCCTCCCTTTGTCTCTTCTTTTCCCACATGCATACACAAAAGGAAATACTGCATAACTGCACAAACGTTGTTCTTTTTAAGTGCTTGTGATAGTTTCAGATAAATACATAGTTTCTTTGCTGCAGGGCCGAGTGTTGCCTTCTGGTATTTGTAATGGTTTTGAGCCGGCCATGAAATGTTTAAAGGTATATATGGCTCTCAGGGGAAGGCTGCTTTTTCCATAAAACACAGGACATCAACGTTAGGTAGGAGGAGGAGGAGGCGTAATGTGAGTGGAGGCAGGAGTCATAGAGGCACTGTGTTATGAGGAAGACTATTTACTGTCTACATTAAACTCTCTAGCAGCACAATGAAAGATTTTGTATAACACAATATGAACTATACTAATTAATGCATTTATTTTGACATGAAACATTGGAGCAGGCGGATCTTGTGTCTTATCTTGTTTAAGTTTGCTGCAGGCATTGCTTTTGGTCCTTTATTCATGCTCTCATTATGTAAATTGTGGTAAATTGACTTTGTAAATCAAAACAGTATTATTTTTATTCTTAACAAAATATGATGCAATACTTTTGCATTCACATTTTCAGCATCCCTGCAGGATGTCTTTCAGCTCCTGCTCGCTCCTTTCAGCACACAGCCCATTGGCACTATTTTTAAAGCATGGTGGTTTGTTCTGTATCACTGATGCAATCAGAGCGGGAACTGTGACTCATAACATCTGCTCTCACCTCTCCAAAAACACACTCCTCTAGATGAAGAAATATATAAAAGCTTTAAGAAGTTAGAATGTTTCTGAAGCTTTGACATTACAGATATAAAGCTATATATATTTATTTAAAACAACATGAAGCCTTTATACATTAAGGGTTAACACGGGAGATCCACAGATATACAGTTGAATTCACAGAAGTCACACTCCACCTTTTTCTTAAATCATGTATAAAATAAGCGTGAGTGAGTCTTTAAAACTTTAAACATGACTACAATGACACTGTTCAAAAAAACATTCAAATCTGTTCATCAAATGTAACTGAACCAAGTTGACGTGTTTATAATCAGGCCACCTCAACTTCATACACAGGAATAAAAGCCCCTCTGATGATTCTCTTTGATGATGCTACAACCAGACGTCCATTGTATTTGCCGTGTTTTATAATATGGTAATTATTTTTCGTGGTATTGCATGGCACCTTTATGACTTCTTTACCCCACGCTGTGCCGTCATTGAATAAGGTTTGTTTGAACAAGGATTTGATTATTTGAATATACATCCTTTTTATCATTCATTTAGGTTCCATTACATTAACAGGTGGTTATGAAACAGTGTGTTTGTGTGTGTGTGTGTGTGTGTGTGTGTGTGTGTGTGTGTGTGTGTGTGTGTGTGTGTGTGTGTGTGTGTGTGTGTGTGTGTGTGTGTGTGTGTGTGTGTGTGTGTGTGTGTGTGTGTGTGGGTGTTGTTCATATGCTGTGTATGTAAATGATTCTGAGGAGTGACTGTGTTTAAGGATAACAAAACAAACACGTTGAAATTGTCTTGTGTGTTGACATGCACGCTATGAAGTAACTTACATATGATTAGTTATTGCATTGTTTATACATTAGGAACAATATATTTTCCTCATTCCTTTTCTCTGTCAAAGCCTGCCGCCTAAATAACCCACGATGCAGCTTGACCTCTTCTACGCTCACTTCTGTCTAACTCCACAACCCCAGATTGTTTTCAAAGATGTACTCTTCAGACCTTCAGACTTTGGGCTGACCATTGTTTAGTCTACAGTAGTAGTCTTGTACTTACTTGAGTATTTCAATGTTTTGCTACTTTGTACTTCTACCCCACTACAATTCAGAGTTAAATGGTGTACTTTTATTCCACTACATTTACGCAGCTTTAGTTAATTTGCAGATTTGGATTAATGATGTGAAATATAATCAACTATTGAATCAGACTTTAGTTACACCTGGAGTACATTTACAAGCTACCCTGCAGTATTCAAAGTCATTAAAACTAGCTACACCTTTACCAGCTCTGATAACACTACATATCATATGTATTATTCTGAAATAGACCAATTTGCAGAATTAGTACTTTTTAATTTTGATACTTTAAGTATATTTTAATGCTAATACTTTTCTACTGTTACTTGAGTAACCTTTTGATTGCAGGAGTTTTACTTGTCACAAGAATATTCCTGCACCCTACTTCTACTTTTACTCATACCAGATCAGAGTACTTCTCCGACCTCTGCTTTTACAGTATATGTCGCCATAGAAACCCATCTCACTGTATATAAACCATTCTTCTCAAAGCCCATTAACACTAATGTATTATTTAAGAACATTATTTCCACTCATAGCTGTGCATTAGTTCATACCGTGGTGGTACAGGGCCGAGTGGGTTGTAAAATATACAGACAAGATGGCGGGGGTCAGAGTGACAGTGTGTATTTGTGCATTTGAATATGAGTCAATCCTTTTTCTTTCAGAATATTTGCCTACAGGATTGTGTTCCTTCCTTAGTGATTGGATAGAATACCGTGTGAGGTCCTGAAAGATGCAAAACACAGGCAAATGATTTAAAGGCAGAGAGGGGAAGAGGATTGAGGGCTTTTGTTATCAGAGAGAAGATCAGCTGTTGGCACACCATACACGCGACAAGGGAAGTCATCAAACAAGAATACCAGGTATGTTATATATGAACTATAAGATTTAAACATGATGGCTTGATATTAGTTTGATAGAAATCTAGAGAAAATAGTTTAAAATATTGTTAACATTTGTCTTCTCAAGGAAATTGCATCCTTTAACATTTAATGTTCTTAAAGCAATGCTATAATCTGGTGCAAAGCATCTTATCTCTTTGAGATGTATGTTCTTTTTGTAACCTGACAACTAAACAAATACACTAAACTAAGGACCAAAACAGTTCTGTTTTCATAACCATTTCCTCTTCCAATTTCAGAAAACAAAGCATCAAAAGTCTACATTGTCACTCGAGTGCATCCGAGCAACATGGAGTACACATTCAGGGCAGTAACTCGCAGCGCAGGGATTATAATCTGGAGAATTGAGGTAATTTGATTTTATGGTATATGGTTATGGTAATAGCCTTTAGACTAACGTTTTTATCAGCGGTCAGGTTTCAAGGGGAAAAAAAGTCTGCTTCTCCGGGAGGAAATGACTAAAACAGCAGTGATGATGTGTAGAAAGTTTGCTGGTAACTTCAGACCTGAAATGTAGATTTTTCCTCTCTCTCACTGTGTGTGTGTGTGTGTGTGTGTGTGTGTGTGTGTGTGTGTGTGGGTGTGTGTGTGTGTGTGTGTGTGTGTGCACAGAACATGGAGCTGGTACAGATCCCAGAGAAATCTTATGGAAACTTTTACGAGGGTGACTGCTACATACTTCTGTCTGTAAGTCTGAGAAGGTGTGGTTTTAGAAGATATGGCTGCTTGTTTGTTTAGTAAAGACTGCTGTTGTAATTGCAGACGTTTTACAGGAAGTAGAGACAGATGTGCTTTTAATTAACCACTTTGAAATAGAGTAACTCAATACACATTACAATAATTGCAATAAACACGGTAAACCATTAGTATATTCTTATTTATTTAGTCTGAATAACTTTGCATTACTTTAAAAATAAGGATGCAGTCATAATGTGGGGTGCGGTTTCGTAACAAAAAAAAAGGTAAATGTTTCTCTGTAATGATAAAATGTAGTATAAATCATAATTAAAAATCACATTTTAATTGTAAGCTGGGCTGATTATAGATACTCATTTTTGGTAATGTGATCATATATCCTGCTTAAATGTATTCTGTTACTAGCCCTGATAATCAGATAACGTCCTGGTCCACACACTGCTCTCTCCCCACAGACTCAGAAGGTAGGCAGCTCTCTCGCTTATGACGTCCATTACTGGATCGGCTCTCAGTCCTCTCAGGATGAACAGGGTGCAGCTGCTATTTACACCATCCAGCTCGACGAGTTCCTGGGCTCCAATCCGGTCCAGCACCGTGAGGTTCAGAGCCACGAGTCTGATGCCTTCAAGGGCTACTTCAAACAAGGAGTAATGTAAGTCAGACTGCCAAGACAGGAGGCCAATGTTAAAAATAGAGTGAAATAAATCTCATCTTCTCTCTTGTCTAGCTATAAGAAAGGTGGAGTTGCATCAGGTATGAGGCACACTGAAACCAACAGCTACGATGTGAAGAGACTGCTTCATGTCAAAGGGAGGAAAAGAGTGATTGCAAGAGAGGTGGGCAGTTTCCTTACAGGGTTGCACATGTCATAATCTTAAGAATATGTTGTTCAAATAAACTAATGTGACAGACATTATGCATACATTTGTCATGAAAAATGATGCAAAGACTAATTCAATGCTGATGTATTGCTCTATGTTTTTATTTGTTTCAGGTGGAGATGAGCTGGACGAGCTTCAACCTTGGAGATTTGTTTTTGTTGGACATTGGGAAGACCATTGTTCAGTGGAACGGACCCAAGTGCAACAAACAGGAAAAGCTTAAAGTAAGATTTGTTTTTGGGTTCCTGTGTCCACTCTTTGGAGCGGATCCATATCGAAACACAGAAAGATACTGGAGCAGAAAATACACTAAAAGCATTCACTCAATATTTGTATTCTTAAATAAGATAAGATACAAAGGTATTGTCCTTTCACATGAAAAGGTGTCTTGCATTAACAATGAACCAAATAGCATCAAGAAACCTCCAGCAACTATCATTAAGAGATGACGATATGCCTTAAACATGACAGAAATGCAGCTTATAAGTGAACACATTTGCAGCTATATTTTCCTAAGTACAGGAACAGAGTTGGAATTACATAGAAAATCATTACTTACTCTTTG